CATGGCACATTGCCTGTGGCGTAGAGTAAGATCGAGATACGACGGCCTTAGGCGCCACCACCGTTGGCCTATGGAGGGTATCAATGGCCGCCAGTGTTGTTCAACTGGCGCTACTACTGTTGCTCCCATCATGAGTTATGAAGTTGACGGGGGAGGGGGGAGGGGGGCCTCGGTCGCTAACAACAATGCAGAATGGGCGCTATGGAGAAGATAGGGTGGGTGAATCAGTAAAGAAGATTTGCATTTATCTTCGAAAAAAGGGAATTTGGAAGCACCAAAGGGAATATTTTACATTATGATTAAATAATTTCGGCACCCCACTGAACTTTATGGTCTACACGTACCACCTCGTGCGAACCTGATATTGTAAGTCGCCATGATATTTTTTGTGCAATGTCCTGCATATTTGCCAATGCACCAGTGCTATCGACTTGTCATTTAAAAAAAATTGCGGGGACTTATCATTTTTATCAACATGAATAATGCCTAATGGTGGTAATGTGTGTCATCTGTGGTGCCCATTATGGGTTTGCATCTGAATTTAGACAAGTGTGTCTTCTACCTTCAAGAGATACACTGAGCCAAACCCAACACAGATCCGATAGACATCTGAACTTTGACGGTCACCGTTATTTGCCGTAGCCCGCTATTTTAATTATGGTATTTTCATAAGACCGACGCTACTACTAAGTGCAGCAATTAATTAATCACCACGACGTAACTTACTAGTGCAGCAAGGCTAATTAACAAGCTACTGATCGATGAGGATAAAAACAGGAGGCAGCCGGCGGCACCGGCGAAGCAGCGCGATCAGGTGGGGGGCAGCGCGTGGCTGCCGCTGCCGCGGGGGCCGCCCAGGAGCGCGGCGAGGAGGACGGCGTCCATGGCGGCCACGGAGAAGACCGTCGCGGCGAGGACCCCGACGCGCAGCTTCCTCCAGAAGGCCGCGCGGCGGGTGCGGAGAACGTCGAGCTCGTCCGCCGCGGCCTCGGCGAGCGCGGCCAGGAGGCGCCTCGAGCGCGCGCTCAGACCGCTGGCCCCGCGCAGCTCGGCCAGGACCACCTCCAGCTCCCTGAGGACGGTGTAGCCCTCGGCGTCGGCGTCAGTGTCGTTGGCGTCGGCGGGACGTGCGACCTGCAAGACGAGGAGGAGGAATACGAATCTCACGAAACAAGTTACACAAACGTGTCGAACTCAAATTCAAATTAAATGGACTTCAGGACCGACGAGCCCCACGAGACCGAGAGCGCTCGAGATCAGACGAATCGGAGCCCAAAACCGCGGCGCGGACTGAATTTCAGCCGACAGTGAACCGTAATCGGCCGGGGAGCGGTACGCACCTGGGCGAGGGCGGAGCGGTCGGGGGCGGGGACCGCGTCGCGGGGAGGGGCGGGGACGACGGTGGAGGAGGAGGAGGCGGCGTCGTCGGGGTCGGGGAGGTCGAGCGGCGGCGCGAGGTCGGCGGCGGCGAGGCCCTCGGGCAGCGCGGGGTCGGGGAGGTCGAGCGGCGGCGCGAGGTCGGCGACGGCGAGGCCCTCGGGCAGCGCGGGGTCGGGCTGCTGCTGCGCGGCGGAGGCGGCGTCGTCGTCGTCGTAGGTGAGGAGCTTGCCTGCCTCCTGGTGAGCAGCGGGGAGAGGCCCGAGGAGGCCATCGATCAGGCGCGCGGCGCGGGTGGTTGAGGGAGGGAGGGAGGGAGGCGGTGCAGGAGGTTAGGTTACCTTGGCGAGGGGGGCGGGGGGCGCGGACGAGGAGGAGCCCACGGAGCTGCGGTTGGCCGGGGTGGTGGCGGCGGCGGCGGCCTTGGCGCCGGAGGAGGAGCGGGGGCGCGGGGTGCTGACGGCGCCGCCCTGAGGCTTGGCCATGCCTGGGCTCTGGCTCTGCTCGGAACCGACGGAATGGTGTGGGTTCCAGAACCTGGGCTGGTCTCTATCAACTGGACTGGGTTCGACCCGGGTCGGGTGCGGGTATTTATCGGCCCCACACGTCAGTCACAGTTGCTTGCTTTAAGCCAGCATTGGCCGAGGAACACATGGCCTCTTTTATTGAAAGGAGTTTCATAAGAATTTTACATGGCCTCTTTTAATTTTTCTCTTGTATAGTTGTTGTTTGATTAATCGAATAGGAGTTTTCTGTAAGATTCATTACACTATACTTTTTACTCAAATTCAAATAAACAAAACCCTATGGAATTCGTGTAGAGGTACCATCGTAACTACTCGTATGACTTTCTATTTCTGTGTTTTTTGCCATCTTTTGTTTTTAAATACAGTACAGACGCAAGCGCTCATATACACGCGCATACACTCACCCCTATGAACAGACACACGCACACCCTTTGCAGATACTAGCACTAAAGCTAGGTTGAATAAGATGAAACACTCACCCCTATGAACGGACACACGTACACCCTTTGCAGATACTAGCACTAAAGCTAGGTTGAATAAGATGAAACGAACCTTCCAATTTACCAAAACAAGCAGAGCAGAGCAGAGCAGATCATCCTAGCAACAACCTCTGCGTCCCCAAAACAGGCAGCGTTTGTTTTTTGTGTTATGGAGACTCTCAAATCTGTTGACATAAAGTATGATGATGATTCTATTGCGGGCTGGCGGGAAAAAACACGGCGAATTTCGACTAGTTACTAGCACAACCGGACCGGACGGAATAAATAACAGCAACCGTCTTCAAATTTTTCTCAAGCTCACTAAAGCTAGGGAGACAAAACAAATTCTCTCATTCCACCTCCCAGGAGATCGGATTCGTCATCACCTCTCCTGACTGGCTGTCACCCTCTGCATGATCATCGCCTCGGCCGCCTGGATGGCCTCTGATGTTCCCGTTATCGTCACTTTCCTGCACCAGCGAGAGTGGAAATTATAAGCTTCAGTGGCTGAGAGGTGATCACAGGGCCAAGCATGGCGGCGTAATGTTGTTACCTGTCAGATGTGCCAGGTATGAAATCGCCCCTATCTGATATCTTAATCCTGGCACCACTAGCCTGCAGTCGAAACAAAATTACATGAGTTTGGTTTCCCTTAAACATGGTGCGATCACACCATACAAGGCAGCAATAGGTTTATGCGGATTTGCCATATAAATCACACAAGTATGAAAGAGTGGTATGTTTTCTGAACCCAAATGAGGGCAGACAACATGCTCCAATGTTCTTAACTATTTATCTGCTGCAGGGAAACTATATGACCAAACGAGCACTATTACCACACTAATGCAGGGTGATACATCTTAACAAGATTGCTGCAGGAAAAAATCAATACGCATTACATTATAGAACAGAGTAAGTAATATGATGCAGAAGCCTCGCCTATCTATACAATGAGCACACATGTTTGACCATGTGCAGTAAAACAACACTAATGAGGTTCAGTTTCACACGGTGTAAGAAGATACCTGAATGATCTCTGTTATGTTCCTTCCTGCACGCCCTACAACTGCACCGATGTGTTCGTCAGCAACACCTATGGTGTGCGATTCTTGGGCATCATTATTAGCAGGTGATCTAACAGGTGTACCAGGCTGAAAAGTTTCAACAGAAAACAATGGTTAGAACAAATTGAAAACATATATGAGGTTAACACTACTACCCAAAAAACAAAGCAAAAAAGAAGGTGCTGCCTCAGCAAAAACAGTTCTACAAAATTATAAAATATATGCATAGAGAATATAGCCTGAAAGCATTAGAATGCAAGAAAACTGGGCACATTAAATCTAACATCAAGGAGTTAGCGCACACAACATCAATCAGAAGTTCCAACATACACATCTCTCTTTCTCCAAAAACAAATGCTAAGTGTAATACACATTTACGCACATCTCTTTCTCCAAAAACAAATGCCTAGTGTAATACACATTCACGCATATCTCTTTCTCCAAAAACAAATGCCTAGTGTAATACACATTTTATTTCCAGTGCGCTGAGTAAGAAAATAGCGTTCACAAAAAAACTGTCAGGTATCTGGAAGTGTGATATACCGTTTTATTTTTTATGGACTACCTAATATTAGTACTGCCAACAGAAGCTATCAGGACATAACCATAATAAATTCATGAGATCAAATTTTGCCTTCTTGCAGTTCAAAGACTTGGATAGGAAAAATGTTCTACGCACTTCCTAATGAGGTTCTACTAGAAAGCATATCATACATATCAGTGATATCACGCGACTCAGGCGCACAACAAAAAGAGAACACATGGTAGATCATTATCAACACAGATGGACTAGGTGTTTACAAAAAAGGTGTACACCATGCAGGACAGCAAACACGAACCTTGTTGTTTTGGTACCTTCCACCACCACCACCACCACCACCACCAGGATACCCATTAGGTCCATAGTTCACAGCATTATTATATGGCACCTGTGGAATCATATAGCCAACAGGAACAGCGGCAGGGTAACTAGGGAAACCAAGGCCTGGATATTTTGAAGTGAAGGAAATGAGTAAGAGAAAATGGTTATGCCGTATCTGAAAGGTGAATCCATCTATAAATATCATGAATGCAAAGAGAATGTCTAGCTGCACATGCAAATATATCCCAGCATTCTCAGCTGTGACTTTTTTTTTTAAATGGTGTTATGACTTATTTTTAGAGAAGCATGATAAATGCAGAACATGTATTCTTCAAGCAAGAAAGGTATTATGAGAAGGCATCCATTCAAGCAAAGCATGAAGCAGAGTGGTAACATTAGAACTAGAAAGCGGTGAAAATTCTAGGATTTACCTGCATATGGAAATGGGGAACTCAAATTAGGTGGGTAGTGAACATCCTCAGACAACTTGCTTAATATCAAATGTATGGCTCGCATCTGACTGTTTAAGGGTCCTGTGATAGTAACAAGCCTATCATGCAAACCAACAAAGTTGTTGTCCTGTGGTGAAATCTTGATTCCAGCATGTGAATCTTCAATAAATGACCTGAAGAGAGAGGGAACACCAAATCTCAACATTCCAGGCAACAGAAACTAAAATAAAGTAAATACAAGAACAACGATGAAGCATGTGATAGAAGTCCAATCAGACCAGGCACATGAGTATTATCAAGAGAAGGACCATACAGTTCCTATTATCATGCATCGGTTCACATATACTAAATCAGTTTTCTCAATAACAATAACATTACACCAACATTGAAATTAAGAAAGTACTCCCTCCGTTCGGAATTACTTGTCTCGGAAATGGATGTATCTAGAACTAAAATACATCTAGATACGTCCATTTCTACGACAAGTAATTCCGAACGGAAGGAGTATCATAGTGGGGGTGAAACTTAATGACAGTATCAGAGATTAGAACAGGTTTATTGATTAGGCATACTTGATTGTTGCTCCTCCTTTACCAATAATTCCACCACATGAGCTGTTAGGAACTACAAGTCTAAATTTAGGCCTAGCTTCAGCTTCATTAGATTCTTCCCCCTGGAAAATAACAGGAGAATATCAGCTATCAAGCAATGGCAGCATGGTCCTACAGACATGACCGTTTGCAAAACAAATAGATTTACCTCTGATAAGAGTTTCTCAAGAACCAACTCCATGGCCTTAACTACTTCGTCAAACAGTCCAGAGACCATGATGATTCTGTCATTTGTACCAGGGAAAAACTCATGGCTGCGCGATAATTGAATACGAGCCCCAGACTGAGATTGGAAGTCATTAATAGTTGAACCACCCTTGCCAATAATACATCCTGCTGCTGTATTAGACACCAGAAACCTCAAATGTGTTGGCTTCTCCTTGTCATCTGAGGAGACAAATCAACTTGAGATTCAGAATTACATGCAAGAAAGGTGAATAGCAATAGCGATAACCATGATATTACAAGTTCAATCATACAGAAGCAACCGACAGATAACATAGCAATTGTATCATATATAGGTTATAATTTAGTGATTGCACCTAACGTCCAAAGAAGCCCGCAAGCAAATTTAGAAGATTTTCAGTACAAAAGGATATGTTCCATGTCGTTCCTAGGACAGCTGAGTAGTTCATCGTGCCAAGAATTATAACAAATTTCAGTAAGAAGCGAAAAAATAGCAAGCAACTCCAGCCACACACCTACTTTGCGTTCTGATACAGTTGACCATTAAATTAAGAATTGTTGCGCTAGAAAGGTGAATGGCAGTAAGCATCCCGCTACGAGTTCCAAGTCGAGAATTACGTTAATAGTCGTCTACTCTAAAATGCTTTGAAGTCAAGCAGAAAGAGCAACTAACGATGCATTGTAATAAACATAGCATTTTTTTAGGCAATGTAATAAACATAGCAATAGCAGCATGGTAAGGCCCAGCATAATTTAGTAGGTTTTGATCACTAGACGTGTTTTGCTGCCTGCACTTCCTAAAACACTAACACTTTCACCGTGCCAACAGCTGGAACAAACTGAAGTACGAAGTGACGAGCAAAATCATCCGCCCACGAATGTCATGTTTAGAAATAAATCATGCCGAAGTGTACTAAACTCTAGTTGAGCGCAAGGAATACCACCGAATCAGCGAGCGAACGAACCAGAGCACATTAACCAAACCGCCCACTGAATTACTAAACCATCCCCCCGTGCACTGCAGCGAGGTCAACCGGGCGCAGCAGCACGTGAGGTGCAAAACGAAGGGGCTAAGCATGAATGATCCTTGGTCAGTTGTGAGCGCCCGCTGCCATGGAACCGGCCACCACAAATCCGGCGCCGCCACAGCGGCCGGCCGCGCGCGGGGGGCAGATCTCGGGCCCGCGGCGGGGCGCCGGGGCCCGGATCTCGCGGATCCGCGCGCGCGGCCGCGGTGGCCACGCTCGTACGCAACAGAACCTAGAGCTCAGCTCGCAGAGAGGATACCTTCAGGGTCGGCGGCGTCGTGGTCGGCGTCGTGGCGGTCCTGCGGGGGCGGCGGCGGCGGGGAGGAGCGGGGCGCGCGCTTGGGCGCGGACTCGGGCGAGGAGGCGTAGGGGGAGCCCGGGGCCTCCATCTTGTGCCGGCGGCGGGGGAGGGGCGGCGGAGGCGGGGGTGGGGGGCGGAGGTGTGTGTGGGGGGAGACGGGGTGGAGCGATGGTAGATCGCTGTGGGCCTACGCCATCAAAGGAGGGACTGCGACGAGGGTTTGGCTGCGCCTTGGGCCGTTTTATCCATCCGATCCAATCCAATCCAATCCAACAAAAGGATCGAACGCTTTCTATTTCTTGTGGGCCGTCGTTTTCGTGCCGTGTACCACCACGCCGGATTTTGTTTGTTTTTTTTGTCTGCTCTACAACAGAAGTACCAACAGTCGTGCTGGAAAAATACAAACTTTTATCAGCATAGATACACGCTAACCACGCTTCATGGCGCAAGGAACAAGGAATGCCAACACCGCGGGCTCTTATCCGCTGACATGATCTCTATCCAAGGTTTGTTCATGGGGCTTGGCTGACCTGAGTTGGTCACCGACAAAAGGCGGGCCCTAGAGTTTTTTATTTTATTTTTACGAGAGAAACTTCTAGGCAGGCTCTAGAGTTGTACAATAAGGACGCTCGACTAGCGGCCCTTCTTTATTTACCTTTTTTACGCCTGGAAAATAGAGCCTCCTGTTAGTGGGACTCGGTTTATGTGTTAAATGGTTG